CGGCTCGGAGTCGGAGTACTCGGAGTTCGGAGTATTACGCGCTCACTGCAGTCAGTTCAGTCCGTTACGGTGCGTCGCGCGGCGTGTACAGGCGTGTACGGGCGTGTACAGACGTGTACAGGCGTGTACAGCGGGACGCGTGCGTTTTTCCACGTTGAAGTCGAAGGGGGTAGCGTGTACACGCGGGGGAACGCGTCTCTCGTGGCGTCGCTGCGAAAGTGCGGAGGGCGCTCACGGGTGTAAAAAAAAAAAACGCCGAGACCTCCCCTTTCGTCGAACTCGCTTTTTCTCTCCTTCTCCCGCTTCTCCGCCGGGTCGCCGAGCACTCGGAGCACCCGGAGCACTCGGAGCACTCGGAGCACGCGTCCCTGACATGCGGCCGGCGCGGGCGAGCGTCAGGACGAGCCATTGTCCGTGCCGTTTGACACTCGGGCTACTCGGGGCAACGGCCAGCCGCGCAGCCGACTTACCCGACTCTCCCCGCAGCCACTCGCAGCCGCACCGAGCGAGCCAGCTGAATTCATCCGTCTGAACTTACCTTACCTGCGGATCGCGACGCGGGAAAGACGGGAAAGACGGGCGGGAGGAGGCTGTCGAATCGGGGATATTTTTACGGTGAGTATCTTCCTGTCTTCTTATCGTGTCAGCCGGACGCTTTTAACCTTTTTAATACTCGACTCGGCGAAATGGACCCGGCACTGGTCCATTCGAAAATAGATAGTCTGTATCGTTTTATCGTTCCTTTTAATTCGCTATCGACGATACTTTTATTTCATTTTCTGCAATGATATTCCTTTTTTGCGGAAATAAAAATCAACTTTAACCTCGGTTTAATTTAATATATCTTTATCCTTTTTTAATTCTTAGAGTTAAAAAAGGATTAAAAGTAAGTTAAACCAAGATTAAAGCTTATCTACAGTAAAAACGGATATAAAAATAAGAAAAAGAGGAAGAATAAGTTGAACCGAGATATTAAAGTTAATCTATATTTAGTGGAGACATGCATAAGAAAAAGAATATTTGTTTCTGCGATAAAGGAATATTACTGCCAGCATTAGAATCCGATAGATGTTCGTTTACTCCGATAATGATTTTGAAACGCGTACGTTTGCATACCGCGCTATTACTTTCCCGATATCGAAACGGTTATGGAGGCGCGAATTTTCCTGTCCACGCCTAAGTATGCAAATACGAAACGCGATGTCAGGTAGTGTGGCTTACTGGCGGGGTTTCCCTTAGTTAGTAATACTATCACATGTCCTATAAAGGCCACCGATAGAAACACGTCTCGCTGTAACGTTAAGTTTTTTTGTTCAAGAAATTATTCGAACGTACACGAAGCCATATCGGCTACTTTAAAATGCTATTCTGAAATGTCAATTTCGTGACACAGATACCGCGTATCGGAATTCGTTGACATAAAAAAAGGGAACAGATAATTTTCAAATGGAGGATCGTAATTTTTTTTTCGATTTAATCTCCCATAAAACTTATTCATAACTATTTTACGTATATATGTATATTTGACGACTGAAGACTCAAAGATATATACTGTTGATATATATAAAAATGCTGACGAACAAAAAGTTTTGACACAAAGGGTTGGAGTATGCGCATTCGTTTATTAACGTTGACTTATTCCGCATACATTATATTTCCGTAGCACGACTTTGCGTAATCTGTCAAGAGTTAACATTCGAAACGCTCGGTTCCATTGCAACGCGCCAGGCGTTCAGCGCAACGAACCGATCGACGTTTCTCCACGGCCGTTCCTTTTTCTTTTTTTTTCCCCCCTTCCCTCGTAACGCGAAAATAAAAGGCCGAAGGTTCCGGTGGCCGAGCCGATGGTACGTACCATCGGCATCGTCGCGTAATGTTATTATTTTCGACAGTCCACGGTCCAGTTAAGTGGGCGTAAATATTTCAAAATAGCGCATAATAGACTCGTGTATATGTACAGGGTGTCCAATGAAGACCGTAACGACGCTTAGGGATAGATTCTTAAGATCGTTTTGAGACGAAAATCCTAATACCAAAATGTCAAGGCTATAAACGTTTTTGAATTATGAGCATTTCAAGTTAGCGAATTATACCGCTTAAAATTCACGCGTTCAGGGTATCTATTATGGAACAAGTCGGGATGGATTCCGATCGAAATTATTCAATTATTCCCTAGATTTCTATGTGTTTTCTAGAGAAAACAGAATAATTCCGATCGGAATTCATTCCGACATGTTCCATGGTACGTACATCGCAAAATGCCACTCACATTTAAACGCGCGACTTTAGACGATACGATTCGCTAACACGAGGTTTATTTTCTGTGGATGAATTAGTATACTTTTGTAACTTAAAGTGAGGTAGGTATTATGTATTTAACGAAAACGAGGAAAAAAGTTCTAATACAGTCTAGTGCAGGAATAAAGAATAGAACTTTTTAAATGTTTATAATTCAAAAACTATTATATCCTCGATATTTTGATATTAGAATTTTCGTCTCAGAAATCTACTCTTAAGGAGGTTGTAAGGGCATAAAACACATATATTAATATTTTCACTTTAAACAAACTACATACGTGTGAAAGTTGTGTTCATAACATTCTGGTTTTATTGAGCAACACATTTTTATAGATTATTTGTTTTATTTGTTATTAGTTTTATTGTTATAAATAAAAATTGTTAAAATAATAAAAAAAATCTAAATGTTTTTATATAAATATATTAAGTACAAAACATGCAAAGTTTCATTGAGATTCACCATTAGTTTATAACAAATAACAAATTTTATTTATTTACTGAACTATTAATGTCTGCATCTCAAGATAACTCTACAAAAATATTGTTGAATTCCTAGAGTATTTCTATAAAACAATTGAGATTTTTATCATTATTTTATAATACATATTCATATATTTATATTAGAGTACAAATTAAAAAAATATTACTACTTATTTAAATAACTTTTGATCCAGATTTTTGGTCAATTGTTTCTATTTTTTTTGGTATTATTATTAAATGAAATTTAGAATAGTCTGTAATTTTTTCAAGTAGTTCTTAACATATTGCATTTGCCTTACAACCTCCTTAAGTATCGTTACGGTCTTTAAAGAACATTCGGTATATTAAAAAAAGAGATTTAGTCGAAATTTAGTCGTGCGGTCGAGAGATGAATGGGCAAATGAGAAATACATGAGTGAAATTCTCTTTGAATTTGACGCATTGACACGGCACTCGCGATTCGGCCGTACGACCGTCAATAAAGCCCACGTAGACCACCGTGAACGGGATCAAGATCGCAACTCGGAGACGGCGCGACGCGACGCGACGCGACGCCTCGGCGCGCGTTTAGAAAGTTTCGGATTTATACTTACTTACGTAATATATTTCGCATTCGTAGCCGAACGTACAGCCGACCTTTACTTTGCAACGTCGAGCCGTATTAACCGCTTTCGATATTGTTTTTTTGCTCCGCGGAATTTTCGCGGTTTATTTTAGTATAGTATCAGATTATATAGCCACACAAGTTTCTACACGTTTCGTGTTTCGGCTGTGTATCGAAAATTTATGACACGCCATTAACCGCGAGTGAACCTCCGAAGAATATATTTTTATAACGCGTAGATAAATTAACGACTGATTCTCTTAACGACTGATCTCTTTCGTATTTATGAATATTTTGAAAATGTTCCGCCATCGCGTGAAAAGTATTCGGTGGTTTGCGAAATTGTTAACTTTTCTCTATCCTTCCTCTGCAACCTGAGTCTTTTTTTGGCACAAGCGAAATCTCACTCTCAAATTTCACTCTCATTTTTTCTCCAATTTCAGTTTTTATTAAAGGTTTTTAACATTTGAATTACAACAAAAATATTTGATAACGTAATAATAGAGAGATATTTAAAAGTAACTTTGAATTTTGTTTAAAGCTAAAAATGACAAAAAAGACTCGGATTGCAGATGGAGTAAAAATACAATATAATTGCAGATGTACAGAGGAAAAAGAATCTAATTGCATTAATTAAAATTCTGATTGAAAACGGACGAATCAGAATTTTCTAATTTGAATTCATTATAATTTCTAGTTGAGATAACCGAAATTCTGATTAATACAATCAGAATTTTTTGATTTGTTTATTTTCAACCAGAAATTTTTCTCGGAGCGGAGGATTAAAATTTGTATGGAATATGAATGTTAATCGTAATATCTAAAAATAGCGCAAGCAATTTTCATGATTCCAATATGCATTATATTTCTCTGTTATCGAGAATGAAGAAAACGACGGTTTATTGTTAAACTTTTTTTTTAGAAATTCCTGACATATTTATTATTTCTACGATATTACCGTCGTGTTATTCAGGTTTTTCTCTATCGTCATCTCTATGTATCATTTCTATTGAAAATGATTAGTTGGCTTGTATATATACGCGATGTGCGCACTTATTGCAGTTTCTACAAATCGGTGTCTCGAGGATATGCGGACTGCGGTATTCTCTACAAGTCAAATGAGGTTTAATGACTTCGCGGCGTGTGTACGACGTTTACATTTAAGGAAGGTGCACGATGATTCACACGGTGCTTTACACGGTGTTCATCGTTGTAACCGACTGATGTCATCGCTAACGATGCGATGTTTTCAAGTAAAAATAATAATGCCGTTACTCTCGATTATAAAAAGAATTTCTCTCCTCCTTCGTTTTATCATGCCGCATGTGGGACGTATGAATATGGAATAAAATCAATTACACATGGCTCACGAATTTCTTTACCAGCAATAATAAGTATCGATTGGACGCTGATAATTATAGATATTAAACAAGGGAGGGATCTCATTTAGAATTCCTCCTCCGCTGGTCGATTGACGTCAGGAGTCCCTAAAAATTCTCCATTACGCCGGGCATGACCGAAAGTGACTGGCAGATACCCTGCTTGGTACCAAACGAAATTAGGCGGCTGCGAATCACGATGGAACAGTACCCGATGCTCCGTTATTTTTGTTACAGACGATCTTTTAATAGACCACCCCGTCGATCTTTGTATATGCGTGAAAATTGACTTTGCTATTTCGTTTCGTTTCGATGTCGCTTCGTGTACGCGCGAAATATACATACAAAGAGCGTAATAAAAGTTTCAAGATCGATAAACAATTAGAAAAAAAACTATCGGCTCCAGGGATCTCATGGTGTATCAAGGATCGTAATAAAGAGCCAGCCTGCGGAACGGGGAATCAAGGCTCTTAGGAGTCAAGGATCTACATTTGTAATAGCGAATCTGTTCTTTCAGTTTTCTAATGACAACGAAAATAGAAACCTGATAAATTACTGTTATGTCGTATATAATTATGGCTGACAAGTAAGAAAGTCGAGAGCCCCCGTAGTGAAAGTAACGTGCAACTCCAACAGATATTATCCCGTATATAACGAACTGCGACGTATGTATGTATTTACTCCACGTTCGAACATCTCGATATCGTGTTCTAATTGCATTTCGTATCGAAAACGATGCGAAATTTCTCCACTGTGTGAGTCTTTACGTGAGGCTTTAATCTAGTTCCCCAGATTCGCGCGAGTTAGTTACCGCGCTATCAAGCCGAGTGCATTAATTATTTTTCTGACGCATG